AAAAAATTTTCTTAACGCATTTTTCTTGAAATGGTTGAAATTAATATGTCTTCTGTTTGTATGAATGAGAAAACTGGCAATGATAATCTCAGCAATATATACAGTAACTTATTGGAACTACATCAAAAACATCATAATAATGAAAATTGTATCAATCAATAACTCTTTCTTGAAATCTTCATACCCATTGAAAAATGACATGTATGTGAAGGTATGACATTTGTTAAACTAAAATAAAATTATACATGTTAAACCTTCTCCGTCAGATTATATGTTCAGTTTATTGTTTTTAACTCATTCTTACTGTAAGTATATCTTGAATGCGAGTGATACGAAGTTTTGTCAAGAACTATTCCGCTATTCGCATCCAAATTTGGGATCAATGTGTTTTCAATCCAATTCTCGAAAATATTAGCTTCCAAGTTCTTATGAAAGTCAACATTGCATTGAGTTTTTTTTCCACATAATTTCAAAGAATTCGGAACCCATTCTTCACTTCCTTCGCAATGCACAATGATTAGTTGCAGTCTATTGTTTACAGGCATGTTAAGCGTACACATTCTCGAACCATCAGTCCACCCTTTCGTAACTGTGTCGTGAGTGTCATACTTCGTCCAAATAGAAAATGTGCCGTTGTTCTTGTCTATATTTAGTTGTTTGTTCTAAGTATTTGTTACGCAATTCCACTATTTTTCTGCTTTCCATAACTACTTGACGTTTGTTTATTATTTTAAATCTAAATCCTAGTTTCTTTATCCAATTCTGAAGAGTTATGATATGACTTTCGAAAAACTTATAATCTTATTCAAACCAGACTCATCAACCACAAAACTATAAAAAAAATTACTTGAGAGTAGAGATCCTCGTAACTTGCATTGAACACGTTTCGAAAAGACCTACTAATTCTAAATCGGAATAACAGGAAACAAAAGATTACAGAAAATAGCGATCTATTTCAAGACAACGTTAATCACCAGTAGTACGCGTGGGATAACTTTCCACCTAATATTCCCGACGAGAAATATCCTACGATGGATCCTTGCCAAAGAACGTTACGATAATACTATTGGCAAACGTTTACTTTGGCTGCTATTATTAGCACCTCATTCTGAATTTTTACATTCTCATTCGAGCAGACAAAATAAATATATAAACAAAATAGTTGGCCGGTTTCATAAACATTTGGAATTGGACGAGATATTTTCCTTAACAAAACTGAGAAAGTTGTTTTTGGCTAACGACATGTGATGTAATAACAATCAAAATCCTACCCACGTATTCAAGTATGTGTAGTATCTAGTTGATTCATTTAAGTTTTAACGACTTTTCGATTTGATTAATTCAATTCCATGATGAATTTTTTTCTTTATGGGAATAATTACAATAACTATGACGTCAGCTATGGATTTATTGTCTAAAAAAACTTGATGTACTGACAAACAGAAACCAATATTTGCCCAGTTTTTTTAATACCATTTTTCATTTCATTTCTCTCTAAAATCTCAATAGGAAGTGGTATCTGGTATCTGTAGAGTAGGGAGAGTGAGTGTAGACTCACAGCACTTAGGCCACATGTGACCCATTGTACATCCTCCCGAGGAGTTGTCCTCCTAGGTCATCGTCCATCCTGTCCATTCCAGAAAGGTGAACTGGTCACTAAGAGACATCTCCTTTATATTGGCAGGTGTAGGTCAAGACTCGCCGAACACACACTCTCTTTGGTAACCTTGAGGTGTCTCACGGTGGCCTCCACGAAGGTTTTGGAAGGTGCAGCGGTATTACTGCCGTTACGCGGCTTCTTCAACCTTCTCGGAATTCCCTCCGTGGAGGTGCACAAGTGAGGGAGCTTTCCTGCAGGAACAGCCGGTTCCTTGCCTTTATTCGAAGCGGAGCTCTTGGCGCTCGCCGCAGGAAGTGCTTCTGCTGTTGGAGGTGATCTGCTTGCTATGTCCAGCCTCATTCCAAGCGGTAGATTAGGGTGGACAGTTTTGTTCATCCACAGCCACCGCTTCAGATTGATGGGAGCACTTCTGTCCAGCCTCAGGATTGAGTAGGCCAAGACTCGCCGAACACACACTCTCTTTGGCAACCTTGAGGTGTCTCACGGTGGCCTCCACGAAGGTTTTGGAAGGTGCAGCGGTATTACTGCCGTTGCGCGGCTTCTTCAACCTTCTTGGAATTCCCTCCGTGGAGGTGCACAAGTGAGGGAGCTTTCCTGCAGGAACAGCCGGTTCCTTGCCTTTATTCGAAGCGGAGCTCTTGGCGCCCGCCGCAGGAAGTGCTTTTGCTGTTGGAAGTGATCTGCTTGCTATGTCCAGCCTCATTCCAAGCGGTAGATTAGGGTGGACAGTTTTGTTCATTCACAGCCACCGCCTCAGATTGATGGGAGCACTTCTGTCCAGCCTCAGGATTGGTTTTTGTTTTTGTTGTTTCTGTTGTTTCATTTATGTGTGTTTCTACAAGTAGCAAGGGAAGAGTTGGTCACCTCTGGCAGAGCCCCGCATTACCAGAGGTAGGCTGATTGCAATGTTTTGCCCAGTTCCCCAAGGAGATCGCATATCACTTTGCGGCCATTCAGCTGTCGCCACGATTACTTACACCTCAGCATTTGTAGGCTGGTCCATGGTGGCATGTTTTGCAAAGGCTTATGGGGAGTTTCAGTTCCCCTCACCCTACTTATTTCTGCCACTGACCGGGAGTCCGGCGACCTCGTCTGTAAGACCACATTGGCTTCCCGGACAGGGCCTCCAGTCCCTTGGCCGTTCCCCTATCCGCCACCAGGGGACGCGCCCGATAGGTAGCCCAACCCACGGGTAGGAAGTGGTAAATACCAATAATACTAGGAAATTATATTTTTTCAACTTCAACATTAAAGTGTGTCTCTAGTACTACATAAAGATGTCAAAGATACCATACGGTTCATTTTTTCAGTGGCAGTGAAAAAATGCATTTTTTTCTGCAAACTACTTTGTATATAAGGTAGAAAGCTTTAAAACTGACACAAAAAAATTAACCGCATAATGTTTTTGACATTTTTTGTAGTACAAGAGGTAACCCTCAATGTTAAAGTTCGTAAAATACAATTTAGTATTAAAAAACTAAAATCGTATGTAAAAAATACAATTTCGTGTTGATATTTTCGAGAACAGTATAAAAGGCATTTAAAAAAATAACAAAAACCAAGTATATTTGTAAAAAAAAATCAATTTTTCAAATTGTATTCAAAAACTGAGCAAACATCGTCTCTTGTGTATCACAACATAAAGTGTTTCATAATATTTTCACTAGATGACGCCATATTGCGAATCATTTTATTCTGTTATTTTCCGGAAAGTGAATGAATAACTAGTCAGATATTTTACGTATAGTTTTTGTGCATTGAGGTATGGCACAGCATTTATAAAACTTATAACTCCTATTTCATCAGGAAATTAAGAAAACCCCTCATATGGTTTTATCAGGTTACTAGCGTTTGGGAATATGTGACGAAACAGCAGTTACGTGATAAGTCTTGTCTTTTTTGGAACGGATCATAAGGATCATATTGTCTCAAACCCTCTTTTTATTACATATCAGCGACTTATTGGAAAAATCAAGAATCCAATAAATTTCTTTGCTGACGACAGCACACTTGTCTCGTCATTTCATTTGGATTCCAAGACATCAGCTGCGGATGCATATCTTCACCGGCAGCAGGAGGTTCGAGAAGTGGTTTCGAATTAGAGTGAAACCAACCAGGTTCTATTCAATGCCACAAAAATCCAGGCATCGGTTTTCTACAAAAAAGATAAATGTCTCCGAACCGGATATAATAATGTCAGGACAGACAATTCCGTTTTCTGCTTCGATAAGTTCGTTAGGGGTTAAAATGGACATCAATATATCTTGGCAAAATCATGTCGCTGAAATGGGGAATGTTCCTCAATTTGGGTTATCACAGCAAATGCAAGTTTGAACAAAATACAGTTGAGTTTAATTCATGAGTTTTTCAAATTTATTTTGAAAAATATTCAAATTAATGTTTCAAATGTTGGGTTTTAATTTTTAAAGGGATTTGTTTCTAATTCACATATAGGCAACAGCGCCTATATCAAGTTGAAATAATTTATACGTACCTAGATATTCTACTTTAAAAAAGGGAAATCATCTCTATAAATCAACAACTAACGCAAAATATGAATTATAGTTCAATACCACCTCCACAAGCCACATAAACAACAGTTGTTTTGTTATTTATTTATCTGGAGTAAGATAGTTTAGGTGCACAAAATTTCATTTCATGTCACAGAATGTCTCGGAACTCGGAACATAAGTAAACAGAACAGCACGCCTCTGAAATATGTCATCTTTGTTTGTCTCATTCAGGTAACAGATTCATTGTACTTAATTAGCTATAACCGATGTTGCCAAATGGTGAAATAACGAATCCCTTAAAATGTTGAATACATTATTTCATACCTCTTTTTTAAGTATTTAAATAATTTTTTAAAGAAAAAGGTTGAAATGCTAAGTTTAAAATGCGTTGTTTTAGAGCTCTTTTATGAAAACTACTTGACTTTTGTCAGGAGGAACATTCCCCATTGCAAAGGCTGCTTCACAAAAGCTTGAAACACTGTTCCCAACCAGAAAACTGTTCATAAAAAAGCCATCCGCTTTTTCAACCTTGTTAGTCTGGAAGATCGAAGAAATGTTGGAGATTTGTCTCTCTTCTATAGAAACTTTCACGGGAAGTGTTCAAGTGACTTGGCACCGATCTCAGAGCGCCTTAGGATTTTTCTGTAATGCTTGTGTTTTGTCCTTGAAAAAAAGGTCCAACTGAAAAACAAATTGGAATATTTTTGCTATCTTAAGTATGCACGCATGGTTTCGAACACTGTCACTAAAATAGTCAACTTCCCTATTGGTACACAAGCTACGCTATTATATGAAATTATACAATATTTTATACCGTTTTTACTGTTCGTAACTCACGTCTCGTTCATTTTTGAAACATGTTCTGTAATTTTTATGTCCATCTTCCAGGTCGGTGTGGAATCAAGAGCTGAACATCCCTACTTTGTGATGGGACACGGATGGGCCTCCTGCAATCCCGACCGTACCCAACAGTGTTATGGTTTGAAAGTTCACCGGTTGCGAGTCGGGGACGTCTTGATATCGCTTACGCCAAGGGAAACGCCAACAACGTCTTGTCCCTCCACCAGGTCCGGGACCAGAGCAGGCACCACCATCATCACGACTGCCACAACCACCTCTATGACAGCTAGACAGCAGTCAGTCAACAGTGTTGTTAAAACGCACCTCTCCGAACCAAAGGTATGTTCATCTCAAGGTCTATCGCCCCTTTACGAACGACAACTCCCAGGTATCGAAACTTGTGCGAGTCATGGATTAACGTGATATTACCTTTTAATGTGCGATTCTCAGCACATGTTAGACGATACGGGGTGAAAATCAATCATCCTGCCGTTGGGCACGAACCATCGTTCCACACAGCGGTTGAATGAGTAGAATGAATCACTCAGACCAACCAGTTGGCTACCATTAGATACTCGACTGATAATCGGAAATACACACCTCACATCACACCTCAACTATTTCAAGTATAAAAATATCCGCAGAAGGCCAAACATATCCAAGGACATAGAAACCAGTCTAGGAAACTCGAAAACAGAACTTTTTAAATTAGTAATTTTTTCAAATTAAAGCAATCTATTGGCGAATATACAGGGCGTTCCAACGAAAACTTGAACCTCTCTGTAAGTCAGAAACGGATGTGTAATCGAAAATTTCAAAGAACACGTCAATTTTTATTTCTAGGGGGAATAATTCTGATCAGCGACTATCCCCCCTATTTTGTTCAATGGCGTGGGGTGTCGAGTGATACTCCATTTGAAAGGTCTTTCGTCCTTCTATTACTCTGCATTTTTTCCGAAATTGATTCATTCGTTATTGAGAAACGCTATTGCACGTTTCATTTAGAAATAGTTCCTACAGGAAATTTGATTTATTATTTATCAATGATTATGGAAATGAAGCCAGTTTTTCTACCACCTACTAGATTTTTATTTATGTATGGCTTTATAATAAAGCGCGTGGTTTACTGGGTCAAAATTAAATTATTCTAAATGAACTAATTCATAACAATGATAAATGTTAATTTCGAAAGTAATGAACTTTGCTTTACAAAATCAGATGAAGAAATTTTTTATTTGATAAACAAGAGGTACGCTTTGTGGGGTCCGATATAAAGCATTTTCGATTAGAAATCATGAATATTTATAATTACGATTGAGGTTTGATATTATTTTGTGATTTCCTGCAAAATTGGCGTATAGGGGTGTTCGTGGACCGACATTATGTTTTTTCTTCAATACTTCATGCTGATGAATTCTATAATTACGAAAAATCGTTAATGTAAATGAAGAAAACTGTATTCAAAAATAAAAAATATGTTTTTCATATGTGTGCCATAGGTCATAGCCATTCTGTGATCAACAGATTGAAAAGCTTTCTGCTCAATGTTCAGTTTGTATACTAAATACTTATTCTTGTGCAACCGTTGTTATATCTGTTATTGCTCACATTACAACTAACTTACGTCACACAAAGAATATGATCTCCGTTTTGGTTTTTCTTTCTTTGCACGAGACTTTTGAGTTGCCTACAGACAATATTCAATAAGAAGTGACAGTTGCCATTTTTTTAACCTCTTTTTGGTAGGGATATGTCAAATAATGAAATAATGTAAACCTAGTTTCAAAAACTTCATTTATAAGAAAAAGATCAAAAAAACGATCATTACAAACATCAAAAACATCCCATTTCATAATGTCGGTCCACAAAGAACCCTAGATACCAATTTTGAATGAAATCACAAAATAATATCAAACCTCAATCGTAATTATGAATATTCATGATTTCTAATCGAAAATTCTTTATATCGGACCTCACAAACCGTACCGCTTGTTTATCAAATCTGAGAATAAATCACAAATTTCTTCATCTGATTTTATGAAGCAAAGTTCGTTAGTTTTGAAATTAACATTTATCATTGTTATGAATTAGTTCATTTGAAATAATTTAATTTCAACCCAGTAAACCACGCGCTTCATTATAAAGCCATACATAAATAAAAATATAGCAGGTGGTAGAAAAACTGGCCCCATTTCCATAATCATTAATAATAAATCAGATTTCCTGTAGGAAGTATTTGAACAGAATACATTTTCACCTGATGATATTATTTGTTGTTGATTTCCTCATTAAAATGAGCGACAGTGAATTTTCTATTTTCTTTCAAATAAAACGTTCAATATTTAATTTCTCAAAAACGAATGAACCAATTTCGAAAAAAAATCCAAAAGTAATAGATATCATCTTCGGGCGTCACAATACTCATATTTTTATGAATGATGAGTTTATAATGATGATACATTTTTGTTTCTTGGCTACATCCCTTTATAATGTATGTGTGGTAATATTAACACAGACATACGATCACTCTGAGGGAAAAATTTCGTTTTTCAGTTTTGTAGCGAAGTTGTAAATCTACTAACTCAACAACCCCAAAGTCCTCCTGAAGTCTTTGGTGTCTTTCACAGAACTTTGTAGTTCACAAAGTACACTTTTTTTTGCCAACAAGAAATTTTCTCTCGCCTTCTATTGAGAAAGTAAATGTTTGTTATTGATCAAATAAACTATATTTCGGTTACTGACAAAGCTTTGTGAAAGATGTTTCAATTCTGGAGGACCACGGAGTGGGTGATTAATAATTCAAATGTGACACACTAGGAAAATATTAATTTTTGGCATGAAGAACCGTAGTCACAAACATTCAAATATTCTTTGTAACATTTATCTTTTGTTATATTCATTCAAAATGTGTCTTTGCACATTTTAAGAAATGGGAAAACTTGGGTATAATACGAATGCAATATACTATTTATGAAGTTTTCTGATAATAACTTGACAATTCAAAAATTAATTACAATGATTCTAAAAAGTCTCTGTCATAACTTATTCACATGACAACCGTTCCGATGAAAGTCTGTATAGAGGACGAACAATTTTCATTTCCAACATTCTCCCACCTTTTGCAAATTAATTTGCAAAACAAAAAATTAGAATTTGAAACGGTTTGGACTCTTCACCCTTCTTCCACTTTTGCACTCCCGAGCAATGAAATACCTGATTTAGATACAATTGATAAAAATATTTGATAAAATGACAGACATATCTTCAACGATTGAGACAAAACTACAGAATACACTTCAGGAATGAATATCTGGCAGATTTGTCTCAATCGTTGAAGGTATCTCTGTCTTTTTATTAAATATTTTTATGGACCCATTATACAAATAACTAACGACATCAGCTCCAAAAAGGAGAGAAATATCTGAAATTTCAGTCACGAAGTCAGAAATATTTATATTTGACAATTCAAAAATTAATTACAACCATTCTAAAAAGTCTCTGTCATAACAACTTATTCACATGACAACCGTTCCGATGAAAGTCTGAATAGAGGACGAAAGTTTTCATTTCCAACACACAGCTTTCTCCGAGATCCGATACTAGCAAACAATGGAAAATTATATTCTGAATCGATGAATCACATTATTTCATTTTAAAAACCCCAAAAGTTTGGTTTCTCAAAACTAAATGTCCAAGAATTGATTTATATTTCATAGTTTGATTGAAAAAATCAATTGTTCATTAAAATAATAGATTAAGGAAACTAAACTAACCTGTTACAACTGCAGACACAATACCATTCAATCACGTCATTCATTTGAGATACCAGAGTTAATGTCACTCTGCGAGGAAATCATTTCAACGAAAAACTTTTTAGGCACTTTTCTTTTCACTCACACAACTATCTTCATTAAAATATCTCACGTATCATAGAAATTCCAATACAAAATGTCATTACCACATTCTCTTTGTAGAACTTTGCACACACAGACAGCTTACGGCAACGGTCCCTGCGAATGGGCAATATTGTCTAGTCTTGTTTTTTGCGTTTTTTACCTTGACGAGGGAACCATTACCGCAAGGTGGCGGTGCATACCTTTCAAGGATATTGAATAATTGTGAAAGAGACATTTCTGAGAATTATTAAAATTGTTACTTCAATCATTTCTCCAAATTCCTGTAGTGAAAGCACTGTTGATGGAAATAATATGTTATTTGAAAGATATTGTTAGTTGGAAAGTAGGAGGTAGAGCAGTTTTCAAAATTAAAACATGTGATATTTGCCTAAAATGAAGAGAATTGAGAAGAGTTTCATTTCTGTGGAAATTTACAACACGTAGCAGTGACAACAAACATTTGAATGTTTCTGCCTACGGTTGTTTCTGTACAGTGATGAAGTGCAGATACAAATGGTTACCAAACTCAAAATTTCCTTCTGTTTCAGGTTTGCATAAATCAAACACAACCAATGAACCTCCATCAACCGTCCTCACGCCCCCCTCAGTCGCTATCGCCGGAAAGCTTGGCCGCAAGAAAGCGAAGGTGGTCCGCTCCAGATCAGATCTGCGAAGAGGAAGTGATCAACAGGAAAAGGCAACGGGTCGAATGATATTTGTTGTTTAGTGAACACAAAGTAATCGTGAACAATTATGTGAGACTCATTAACTAATTGAAAATTGAATATGTAGATATGTTGCTGTAAAAAGGTATAGTTATCTACCACTGTTGCTTTTTTAAAATTGATATTATCGCCTTGTTATAAAGTAGCTAAGTTTTGGGACGATTTTTCAAACTGAGAGGTGCAAATTTTATTGCTTCAATAGTTGTAATATAACTATTGAGTAGCAGTTCATGTAGTACCTACTGTTAGGTACATTTATCGTCCCAGAAACTAACCAAATTGTTACTATGCTGTACTCGACGTTAGTGCAATGAGAGATGATAGATTAGGTTTATTTTTCATGACAATACGACTTTAGGGCAAGATGCATTAGGAAGATGCGTTTACTGTGCTTACTGTAAAATTGAGAACAGGAGTATTATGAAGAGTGATATGTAATTATATGAACATGAACAATAAAATTAGTGATGGTTTTGTTGAACAGTGTGTTTCAAAATGATGTGTAATTCATCAAAAAGCTTTGTAGAGGAAAGAGAGTAATTGATAGGTTAGATTCACAAAACAATCATATTTGTCTATCTCTAGAGTAGGGAGGGTGAGTGTTGACCCACAGTACTTAGGCCACATGTGACCCATTCTACATCCTCCCGAGGAGTTGTCCTCCTAAGTCATCGTCCATCCTGTCCTTTCCAGGAAGGTGGACAGGTCACTAGGAGACATCTTTTTTATATCCGCAGGTGTAGGCCAAGACTCGCTGAACACACACTCTCTTTGGCACCGTGTCTCACGGTGGCCTCCGCGAAGGTTTTGAAAGGTGCAGCGACATTTGTTTTTGTTGTTTCTGTTTTTGTGTCTGTTTCATTCATGTGTGTTCCCACGAGTACCCAGGGAAGAGTTGGTCGCCTCTGGCAGAGCCCCGCATTACCAGAGGTAGGCTGATTACAATGAGGTTTTGCTCGGTTCCCCAAGGGGATCGTTCGTAACCGCATATGACCCTGCTGCCACCTTAGCTTGGGTAGGCTGGTCCATGGTGGCATGTTTTGCAAAGGCTTTTGAGGAGTTTTAGTTCTTCTCACCCTACTTATTTCTGCCACTGACCAGGAGTCCGGCGACCCCGTCTGTAAGGCCACAGTGGCTTCTCGGACAAGGCCTCCAGTCCCCTGAACATTCCCCTATCCACCACCTGGGGACGCGCCTGATAGGTAGCCCAACCCACGGGAACAAGCATATATAATAATATCTTATATTATGGTAAAGGAAATGAAAGAGAGAGTATAAAAAATTGTGTTTTTGTTCCTTACTTTTTTATCATTTTGAAACATTCTGTTCAGAGGAGTACAGTGGGTATGAAAAACCACTAATCGATCTCAAAAAGAGTCGTCGTGTGATATAGGACTGCTTTTAATGTTCACAAAGATCTGTATTTTATTTTACCTGTCTATGTTAATGCACGAACTGATCGGAATGCCCTGATACGATCCTCTAATGAAACTGAAGAAGTAACCTCAAACCTTGAAATATCACTATGGAATTATATTGAAACATAATTGGCGTGTCGACTATTTAATACTTGTGATTATAAATTATTTTTTAAATCAAAATTTACAGGTAGCTAAAATAACTTGAGAAATTTAACAGTTTGAGGTTATGTTCTCACATTCCTATGGTGTTTTGAAAAATAATTCTGGATCAAATCAACGCAGGGATTCCCAAAAATCATCTAGTTTTAGAATTTGTTACTTATATATTGTAAATTCTTAATAGAGTATTGAAAACGATCATCTGAATATAGGGTGATCGTATATTATTTGCTTTTTAATGTTTTTATAGAGGGAAATTCAAAATGATCGGTGGAAATGTTGATACCAAGATAAAATTGAATAAACGTGTTACTATGTGTTTGAATATATATGTATAACGTTATTGGATATGAAATATTCAGAATTTGTCCCCACCAATGATTTTGAGAAGCCCTAACTATTATTTTCCATGTGAATTCTTGGCTGTGATACAGTAAAGTATATGGAATGTGTAAATACTTCCCTCCATGTCATTGAGATCCTGGTTCAAACTAATAATTCCTACATAGACAAGAAATGCCTCACTCTGTGCTTTTTATTAAATCTGCTAGGACATGAACCATTCATTGGTTTTGCTTGATGTTGAGCTAGTTAGTGTGTTTCTACTGGCAATTCAATTAAAAAGGATTCAAACATCAACACAACTGGATGTTTTAAATTTCAATTTTATAAGTTTTTGTAGACAAAACCAGATTATTTTTCGCAAAAGTGTCAATTTCTCAATATCAAAACATAGAAATATGTGTCAAAGCTAATGAAAATATTAAATGTATACCCTATTTTTTCTTTAGCAGTTGAATTGTATGGATCTTAGAAATAGACCCTTCTCTTGTTTATCTCCAAAAAAATTCTAAAATATTGATTTTCTTGTTTTATTCGGTGCAATATTGTATTACTGTGTAATATCAGATATCTAATGTTATATTTTCTTATAAAGATTCTGTGATAATGAATTTTATTGAATGAGTTGTTTTATATTCGAAGTGATTCGAAGTTACACTGTCAATACTAAACACCATGTTAAAAATCAAATGAATTACGGAATAACTGAAAATTTTGCTCTGTGTTTATCATATCACCTGCTTGATATTCGGTATTTTGTATCACACTGTAACTTTGGAAAACACTAGAAGAAAACCTCATTCTTTCATTTTTGAGATGAGTTGTTTCATCCAAATGCCAGATGAGTAAAGAATGATCAGAAATGATTTTCGAAGTGCCTTTTGTAAGAAGCGAATGAATTCGTTTTCTAGAATGTTATTCACCTAAAAAGTGAAGGATCTATGAATCAAAATGCTAAATAACAGATTTTTATGTACAGATATATTATTTTACAAAATACATGTACAGTGTGCCATGTTGTTGAAAGTGTAAAGCCCCAGAGGCAGCGCAGTCAAACCAATAAAATATATATGTACTAATGGATTAGTTTCATTTGTAAAAAAACCTGTAGCAGGAATCACTGCAACACATTGTATAACCTATTTTAATGTTTTTGCGTTAAGTTCCCAAAATATTAATTTCCTTTATGAAAAATTAAATTTTTATAGCTGGGATTAAATAATTATTGTTATCAACTATCTCAATGAAAGAGCAGATTTGTCTCTTCCAGGCTCATAACAGCAAAATCTGTTATTATGTCGAAGGCTAAGCTGGTCGGACCTTGTCTATGAATTTCTTGCACATTCGGGAAGGCGCACCAACATTATTAACCAATGACTGCTCCCCACACCGTGAGGGAAGTGATCACAGGGTCCGAGAGAGAGATGAAATGAGCCAAGAATGACGGCCTTCTCCATTTGTTTGGCCATGTTTATGCCTTCGTGCGGTAAGCCGACATGATCTTAAGATTCGTCAGTAGAGAAGGTATAATGGTATAATTCCACCAAGGACTTCAATAGTCAGAACAATCATCCTAACGGAGTGGTCTAGATAGTCTGCGTATGTTGAAAAAAAAATCTCATACATCATCCATTTTTCCTTCTTTTTTCGGACGATATTCGTCTCACCGAGAGCTTGAAACTCCACGATGAATTTTGTTTTGCTCTGTTGATTGAAAAGAACTACATCAGTTCTATTATTATTATTACTACCATTAATATTATATGAGAAGTCGTAAAGCTTGTGCAAAGATTGAGTGCAAGTCTTTCAGAAACATCCGAAAGATGCTGATGAAGTAAAATTTCACATCCATATTATTTGTTCCTGTTTTCCAAAAGTAGATATTTTTATATCTGATAGAAGCTTCTCGTGATCTACACATCTTTTTGAGGAGTTGATATTCAAATAGTTTCATATCAGACAACATTGTACCTTTCCAGTCAAACCTTTCATTGGTAATAAAGAGAAGTTGTATTTCAATCAGCTATATATCATTTTCTAGTGAGACAGGTCAAAAGTCGAATTCGAAACGTCATTTCTATCAAAAAGTAAAAGTCAACACATCACGGTATAATAGATACTGTTCGTTTTACCGAGCGCAGATGAGTTAAGACTACTGGACAGACTGGACACAATGATTTTTTTATCCAAACTGTAGTTTCTAAAAATTTCCGTGGTCTTTTGTGTAGTAAGAATATTGTTGAGAAAAAACCATTTTGTTTTGTTTCCAATGTCTCTCATTTCTTGAAGACATGAAAAACCTTCGGTATGAGACTTCACCTGTATTATGATACCTTAGAACGCTCTCATCTCAATTCAACTTCGCAAACTGCTGGTGGAGCCGCTGAATATGCTGAAAAATTGAAACAGCGGAAATACAATTATTGTCTGGAAGATCAATATAATTTCTATCCAATCACATTGAAACATTGGGTTACTTTGCTCACCATTTTTTCAGAGATTTCGGCCGAAAACTAATTACAGTAACAGGCAATTCTAGATCAAGGTCATTTTTAATACAACGAATCATCATTACAATTCAGAGAGGAAATGCTGCATCAATTCTTGGCACTATTTCTCCTTTTCAAAGTCTTGATGGAATTTATTTTCGCCCACGAAATTAATCTGATACAACTAAGTTTTCAGATTTTTCCCCATCTTCTTCTATTGAAATTTTCAATTTGAAAATAATCCAAATGGCAATAAAAGTGAATCAGACTATATTTCCAAAAATTTTGTGGTAGAAGGCTTGAGGGGCAAACTAGGCACTAACAGTTTCAACGTCATAAAAGGACAAATGGAGAAGAGGAAATATATCCAAACCCTGCAAGATATTGCGGTCAATTAACCAATAGCCCTTTCTCCACCTTTTGACTACTACGCGCAAACTATGATCTTTCCGACGACGAATCACCAACATGTGCCTATGATAGTAAAGCCAATCCTGTCCTATCCTCATTCCCAACTGAGCGTTATTTATCAGAATGATATTTCTCTGATGTCTCCTTCTAATCCTTATCCTCAAAATAGTAGATAGGAGTATCAGTAGACAGTGCAAGAACCAAAGTTGAGTAATACAGTGGAAGACCAGCATAGGACTTGTCAAGCTTTGACGGAACAGGAGAAGGGTATTCGAAATGATGCTGACCTGAGTCCTTCGGCTGAACCCTTTTAGTCCCTAAAAGAACTAATTCCCAACGGAGTTGGAGTAATGAACCCTATCCCTGTCGCAAAATCGTGGGCAAGTCTTTTCAAATCCGACAACGCCGCTGTTTCGTCTGAACCCGTCAACAGTTTCAACTAAATCACTTTTGACCAGGACACTGAAAACGAGTTCAACAACAATCTACTCATACGCCCCTTCAGGCAATCCAGAAGGTCCAACTAGTTTGTAGATCCAAACTGTTATTGGATGGTTAAGTTTCTATCTCCATACCCGATCGCATCAATTATTGCTACATCAACTCGATTTTGCAAGTCCTGATCGCATGTCCACCACTCTACAACTTACTGAACAGTTTGAGCAAAAACATCTCGTCGTACGAGAGAATGAAATCTACCCAGGTTTTAGTTGGAATGTGTCGTTTTGTTGAGAAGTTTGATTACTCACCTTCCTACGTTAGGACGAAAGACAGAAGAGGAGATAAAAATGTCAATAATGACCAAACAGCTATAAGCTCACCATTCGGTAAGACGGGGACTTATAAATTGTTGCATAATATGCGAAACGACTGGGTCGAGGGTAGCTCACAAGATGCAGAAGACTTTCTAGGTTTTCTTTTGAATGGACTCAATGTTGTTTGAGCTGAAGGAGCCTGTTAAACATCACAAAAGATGAAAAACCTCTCGTTAACTCTGCTTCGAGCAGTGATTCAAATAATGAATAGAATGTATTGAAATAAAAGAAATCCAACCAGAAGGATCGACATTACCAGTACACCGATAAGCGAAATCTTCGAGGGGCAAGTGAAGTCGAGCATTGATGGTACTGGAGACATTACTGAGAATATCCAGATCACCCTGTCACTCAACATTGAGAAAGTAAAGGCAGTCAGGAAAGCGCTCAAGATACTCGTCTCCAAGAACAGTTTAGAAGGGCAGACTATGTTGAAAACTAACGAGAAGATCAAAGTTATTCTAATACAACCACGACGGTTGCACGAAGATTATCAAGGCTTTGGAGTTTGAATTCGATATGAAAATTGATTCGACAGTGGTATCGTCGGAAACACAGTCTCCAACAGAGAAGCAGTACAAGCTATTCGCCTTCGTTTACCATGACGGCGAAGATGCCAACATTGGAGACTACGTGACCGATGCCTTCCACGTCGGCTACAACTGTTGGCTAGGGTATACAAACCACTCACTCTATAGACGCTTCACGGCAATGGTATTGGTCGAAGATGCTTTTGTAGTTCGTTGTTCCCACCTATAGAGGCCGCAGCAATAATTTGTCAAATTATGAGCATGCGTAGTTGACGACAATGCTGTCAGCTGGCAACGATTTTCAGCTCTCTCTATAACTTAGAATCGGAACTAAACAAATAAGCGGGAAACTTAAACTCAACCATTGAAACTTTTCCTGGAGATCAATTACCCTAACATCAAACTGAAATTTTTTGAACTCGACGCACGTTTCGCTAACAGGGTTAGCATCTTCAGGAGAAGAAAATTGACACAGTACCACCCTACAGGTATGCACAACGAACTACAAAAATGACTGAGACCTTGATCATTTGCGTGAAACGTCTAGTAAGTAGTTTGTGCTAAGGTATGACGATTTTCGATCAAGATCGTGCAGGAAGAATACATGCTGAAGCTCCAGCAAACGCGAGTTCCTTATTTGCTGTTCTACAGCAAACGTTTTACGATCCGATATAAATAACGTCCCCCTAAGGGGATGAGGGTGCTGTGGTTCCGTGGAGCGTCTAGGATCGTACGAGAGTTTTTATCGAAATTAATTTTTAGTTAGTTTTACTGGATGTTTTCATTCCTTCATTTTGTTGTAATGTGAAAAATGTACTTTGTAATGTTTCAAATTACTGATTATTATTTATCTCATGTACTATTATAGTATATGGAAAATGGGAAATTTATGAACAAGTAAGCGAAAACTTTGTGAACACAAACTTTGGCACAATCATGTCGCTGGAATTGCGAAGGCTGTTTCTTGAAAGCTTGGAACACTGTGCCGAACCAGAAAACTGTACACACTTCAGCAACTTTTGATGCTTTATAAAGCTCAGATCAGACTTTTCTTGAAGTATTGTTTACATGTATGCCCCCAAACATAACCTGAAGTTGCTGGATTCCATCCAGNATACAGTTGTGATGTATTGTTTATGGGTTTTCAGTCAACAGAATCTACTAGTTTCAGATGGGGCTCTTCATCTGAACTGTTTGTATTGTCACAACTCACATACTGAAGTATTAGGTTAGGTTAGGTTCAAAGTGGGTGGGTCTATTCAACCCTCCACCGCAACCCGCCAGGGGTTAAGTTCGGTCACACCTATTCTCACTCTACCAAATGAACCCAGATGGTAGGAGTACGGCTCTACCGAACTCTAAAAACTTGACCTGGTCCCCAGTCCGGCAGGCACAAAGTATGTGCTCTGCTGTTTCATCATTTTCCAAACAGAGGCGACATACACTGTCTTCCGACAGTCCGAACCTCTGATGATGATTCAAATGACAGTAACCTGTAAGGAGGCTTGTTAGACATCGTAGTTCATCCCTACTGTAGTCTAACAACTGTTTGGTGTCAATCTTTGAAGGGCGAATAAACGCCTTGGAGTGAGCCAATCCTGGAAGATTCTGCCAGAAGTCCATAAATCTTCTTGCCATCCAGGTGTTCAATCTTTGTTTGGCAAAGCCTAAAGCGATGCCAATGACAAGTTCTGGTCCGATGAAGCTACTTGCAGCACCCTTTTTTGCAAGGGGGCCAGCAGCCTCATTGCCTTCCAGCCCAGTATGGTCAGGAACACAAACCACTCACTCTATAGACGCTTCACGGCAATGGTATTGGTCGAAGATGCTTTTGTAGTTCGTTGTTCCCACCTATAGAGGCCGCAGCAATAATTTGTCAAATTATGAGCATGCGTAGTTGACGACAATGCTGTCAGCTGGCAACGATTTTCAGCTCTCTCTATAACTTAGAATCGGAACTAAACAAATAAGCGGGAAACTTAAACTCAACCATTGAAACTTTTCCTGGAGATCAATTACCCTAACATCAAACTGAAATTTTTTGAACTCGACGCACGTTTCGCTAACAGGGTTAGCATCTTCAGGAGAAGAAAATTGACACAGTACCACCCTACAGGTATGCACAACGAACTACAAAAATGACTGAGACCTTGATCATTTGCGTGAAACGTCTAGTAAGTAGTTTGTGCTAAGGTATGATGATTTTCGATCAAGATCGTGCAGGAAGAATACATGCTGAAGCTCCAGCAAACGCGAGTTCCTTATTTGCTGTTCTACAGCAAACGTTTTACGATCCGATATAAATAACGTCCCCCTAAGGGGATGAGGGTGCTGTGGTTCCGTGGAGCGTCTAGGATCGTACGAGAGTTTTTATCGAAATTAATTTTTAGTTAGTTTTACTGGATGTTTTCATTCCTTCATTTTGTTGTAATGTGAAAAATGTACTTTGTAATGTTTCAAATTACTGATTATTATTTATCTCATGTACTATTATAGTATATGGAAAATGGGAAATTTATGAACAAGTAAGCGAAAACTTTGTGAAACATTACGTATATTAGCTACACACAATATTTAAATTTTGATAATTTGTGAAACATCAAATGTTATCTGTCGCACGCCAATGGTGAGTGGGGAATACTCGATTTACTAGCTCTAGTTCTATCACTTCACAGTTCATACTAGTTTTGGTTTTTATAGATTTATTTCTGTTTTATTTTCCTTCGGATTCACTCGATGTAAGTATTAATTATTATTGTATATAAGATCTTATAAAATATTGGTGAATGGGTCATATAAACTTGTTATTCATGAAAATAATGAAACATGGATGGATATGACAGTAAGGTTTTTGATTTTTGAAAAATATGATGTCGTAGTATCTGAAAATATTTCGCCGATTCACGGGAAACACGTTTGTACTGAAGTTTTTACTGAAGAACTGAATTGAATCTGAGGATATAAAATTAATTTCAATAATAATCATGAAAAATTAGAAATGAACTTCCTATGTTTTTTTTACCACTTATGTTTGTAACGTTACTGTACTATAATAGTATATTATGCAACGATCATGTGATGATGGTTATTAAGACACGAGCATTAACCGGGATACGAAACGAGCCGAAGGCGAGTTTTGTATGGNAGTTAGATGGAACATATTTCCAATGATTTTTCATGACACGAATATGCAGGTCCCATGTGGCCACTTATTTTCAAATATACAGGATTCTTTGAAAAATGTATTATATTAAAGTGATCTTTTTGAATAAAACATCCCTTTTGCCATTGCGTTTTGAAGTCGATTCCAAAAACTCCATTTCAGTACTGAATCAGTCGTGAAATAATTTTTTTTGGACTTTGGTTCAGATATTCACGACATTTTTCTCGAATGGTTTCCTTACATGGTGTTCATAGATAACTGGTCAATTCTGTTCCGTTAAAAATATCAAAGTACGGGTGTAGAAAAATATATTTTCAAACGTATACAATTGAAAATGTCCTTATAGGATGAAATTTCAGTAACATTAGTTACAAATACTACTGATAAAAAACAGGAAGTTTTTTACATTTTTCATGAATATCTCCTACTACGTAGCAACGGATACCTCTATCAATGCATTCAATAATAGTTGCTGTATTGAGCTCCAAAAAAGTGGAGCTCATAGAATAATCATAATCAGGTATGATTATTCTATGTCCATAATCTCACCTCACTTTGCAGGAGTGACGGTCATAACATCTAGGTAGTTAACAGATGTTTATTAGTATTTAGTAAAAAACCAGGAAACTTTTTGCCTTGAAAGTATAGTCGATCTCATTCTTCAAATTTATGAGTTTTCAATTCGGTTTTCAGTCCCCTGAAATCAAAAAACGAGTTTTCAAATGGGTAAAATATTGACGGAAATTATTATACAGTTTAATTAATGTCTCTCTAAATTGAATGGTTCTTAACACGTTATACATAAGTAGCATATTTATATTTCATCAGTTCGGACTGAAATACACCACGAAACATTGTCAACCACCTTCAAACAAACGTAGCATATTTATATTATAAAAAGTACTGAATTCCATTCATATATTATACTCAGTCATTTGGCATCCTTATTTGTTCTGATTGGTTCATCTCGTTTTAGGGGAGTTTAAACTTACTATAAAAAAAGGAAATAATCCATGCTAACATAACATTCAGAACATATGATCCAAATTATTCATCATATCAACTGCCTAAACAGAACATCAAATTCATACAAATCATATGTGAACTGAGACGTTCAGAACTCACTTATATGTATAACAATTTCATTATTCATACAGTAACAGTGTTAACTTTGGACATATATGGGAATTTTCATAGATAACAGATTTTGGACTCTGATATCAGCTTAACATTTCAGTTACCCGCTAGGTCAATACCAATAGACCAGAGTCGATAATTAGGAAGAATAAATTAGGGTCGATCTGATTTCGGGAAGTAGTAGGAGATGAGTTTTTAAGGGTGAAAATGGTTGGATTATCTCGATTTTCGGAAAAACTACAAGTCCTATGGAACAAAGTTAAATAACAAAGTTGGAGGTACTAAATAGATCTACAACTTTCATATTTACAACTTCACATAACCTCAAAATGTATGTGAAAAATTCAAATAACCAAGTGTTTGGTTTTTTATTTCTATCTTTGTGAAAAAAAATGTTTTTGAGAAACTCGGTGAAAACCTACTTTTTATGTCCTAAATACTCTGTAATTTTTTTGATTTGAAATATTAATTTTTTCACCTTATTTTTGACTTAATATCAATAAAGCACCCTAATTTTCAATCGAAAAATCTCACATCAAAATATCACCTTTTTTTAAAAAGTCGTTGTGCTTTTTGTTCTTTGAAATCTCTACNCTTGTAGATTGTAAACCATTATGTTTGTGGATCTTCCCTTCTCTTTAATTCTTCTATCTCAAGTATGAAGGTTTCACAATCCGCTAAGTTTGTCCCGATTTCACCATTTTTTTTATTTGAAGAACTGGCCCTAGGGCTCTCTACGAGCTATTCTAATGTTAAAAGTCTTTGCTGATGTGATTTGTTCAAATCTAGAATTTGTTCAATTTTCAATAATCTCTGTTCCATTAGCTTATTCTACTCTATGAATTGTACAATTCTAAGAATCCTCTGTTCCAATGTGACTAACTTCCCATTGAGATGTGTTGTACGGTCCTGGATTTCTTGTTCAATATTACTGAGTTTCTGATTAATCTGTGATATATCATTAATTCTACATAAAGGACAGTGGAACAATATTATTCTGGTTGTGATTATAACTGCCCGAACCTCAGAAGATGATATCCCAGCACAGGATTTGCAAACAATCCTTTTGCACTGGTCACAAGGGTAACCAAATAATTCTGTTTTGCTGTCTTTCAAAACACAAGACTCATTACATTTATAACAAACCCCAGCCATGATAAATACCTAATTTTGCTGGACTATGACAACTGTTTATAGTGTTTTTAATATTCTTTCTATCACTTCCACTTTCTTACTTTGTTTTTTATGTGGTAAGTTGCTGCAATTCGTGACACTTCAGATGAAAAACGCGAACTTGTTTTTGATGAGATCACAAAAGTATATTTTCAAATGACTGCGTTTAACACCATTTCCGATTATTAGAATTCAATTGAATTAATTCGATCTCTTTGTTTCAGTCATTTATAAACACAACAAACTCTTCAAGTATGATGACCTCATACCGTACCATACTATGATCACAATGTTTTGTCGAGTAGTAGTGGCAAAAGTGAATTAAATGGGTTTATATATGTGACACAAACCTTCGCCAATATCAGAAAAATATCTTCAAGTTATGACTTCATCTCTGAAAAATTTAGGTTCTTCAGAAGATTATGGAATTTACCATAAACGCGTTGATACGAAAAATTCTTTTAGCGTTTTACAAACGCCCGATAATAGTGATAAAGATAGTCCAGTGGATTCAGAAAAAATAGAAGTAAGTGAAATAGATGAGAATACCACAAACACTTCGAAACAAAATTTAAGAAAGAAGAGGAAGTGTAGGAAGAGAAGAAAAAGGAAAAATAAACTCAAGAAAAAGATTGACAATGTATTTTATTCAACGGAAACAAAACAAGATGCAATCAACGATGAACGAACTTCGGTTGTTCCAATCGAGACAACTTCTCAAAGTGAAAGAAGAGCAAATGAACAAGGATTGAATGTTGATGACTGTAAATTCGACAACACTGTTAATCCCATTTCCCAAAATGAAATTGACTTCGAAAATGAGATAGATCAGTTACAGTTAGAAGAGCAAAATGAAAACCTGAACTTCTTTCCATGGTCAGAGAATAACTGTGAATCTCCCGAGGTTCCATTTGCTGGGGAAGTTGAAGACTATAATAATGTGACATCCGAAAATACCAAAAATGTTTATTATGAACGGATAATAGATGACGTTGAGTCGGCAGAAAATTCTCAAGAAATGAGTGAAGTTAACGACATTTCTAACTTGATATCTTCCCAACGAAGACAAGTCGATGTTGAAGAAATTGAAAATATTTATAGACTATGGAAGAATATCAACCCGTCACTTAATGATCTATTCAAATGTTTGTGTGTTGGATTAGTTACCTGTTTATTTCTGTACGGAGCATACAAAATGCTGAGCTAAGAAAAATTTTAAAAATTTAGCCTGCTCAAGTCGAGAATAGGTACTTTTGTTAGTTATTCTAAGACGACAATTATTGATTTCTATGAGCTGACGTTGATTTTTAGCTATAAATTTTGTTTATTACTGTCATACTATCATGAACTGACCTGAAATTTTAACCTCAATTTTTCAATAAAAGGTTGCAAGTTTGATTTTTTTTCCAAAAAGATTGTTGTATCACTCAAAACCACAATGTATCGAATTCAACCTTGGCAGTCGTTTGATGACGATTCAATCTGATTTTTTTCCAAAAAGATTGTTCAAATACTTCATCGGGGGATTTCAGCAAAATTTGAATCGATATACTCAATATAGGTACTCGATATACTTTCACATACATTTATGATCCGCTGAATAAACGTGATTTTTAGAAATCTCCAAAATATGTCTATTTTCAATTTTGAAATAGCATTCCAAGCATAAGATATGAGGCTTTTTTGAATTTGAAATTTTCTTCTAGGAAATATATCAAACAAGTGTTGCCCATCCTTAGGTACACTTGCCTGCACCGCGCTGATGAGGCCTATAACCAGAGACACGTATCCTAGGTTTAGCCACATATTCGAGTGTTATGTCATGTCATATTATGATCATATCAATATGATCGTTAACTTATTTATGTATATTTATTTATCAATTTCTATTTTGTCCTCTTTAAAGTAATCCTCTTCAAATATAATACACTTGTGTCGGCGATTTTTCCAATCGTTGAAGCAGTTCTATTCACACACTACGATCCACAATGCCTGAATTTACTTTTCGACAGCGAATTTTGAAATAGCTCAATATCAACAAGGCGTGTGGCCCTGATGAAGTGCCCGTCATCGTACTTAAAAAGTGGGCAAATGAACTCGCACCAGTATTTTGCAGACTTTTCAACCTGTCTTATAAGAAAGGAGTTTCTCCTTCTCGTTGTAAGATTGCTCGCGTTTAGCCTATTCCCAAAAAGGTCAAGAAAAATCTTCCAAACAACTATAGACCAGTCGCTTTGCTACTAGTGATATCAAAAATCATGAAGACGCCGTAAACCAACATATCCTCAAATATTTGGAAGGCTTCAACATCTTGAGCGATCAGCAATATGGCTTACGGAAACAAAGATCAACAGGCGAACTTCTATCGTATGTCACCCATATTTGGAATTACGCAATCGAGGAACATGAAGAGTCAAGAGCTGTTGCGCTTGATATTTCTAAGGCCATTGACAGTGTATAGCATGACGGTTTATAGGCCAAACATCGATGCTATGGCTTGTCGGATCATTTTTGTGTATGGCTCTTCAGCCGATGGTAAACGGTGGAAAAAACTAAGAATCCAATATATTGCTTTGCTGACGACAGCAACTTATCTCGTCATTCCATTTGGATTCCAGGACATCGGCTGCAGATGCACATCTTCACCGGCAGCAGGAGGTTGCATACCTTAATGAGGATCTAGAAGTGATTTCGAATTACGGTGAGGGTAACAAGGTTCAATTCAGCTACAAAAACCCAGGCATCGGTTTTCTCCAAAAAGACAAATGTTTCCAAACCGAATATAATAATGTCAGGTCGGACAATTCCGCTTTCTGCCTCGATAAGTTTGTTGGGGGTTAGAGCTGACACCAATATGTCTTGGCACAATCATGTCGCTGGCTGTTTCTTGAAAGCTTGGAACACTGTGCCGAACCAGAAAACTGTACACACTTCAGCAACTTTTGATGCTTTATAAAGCTCAGATCAGACTTTTCTTGAAGTATTGTTTACATGTATGCCCCCAAACATAACCTGAAGTTGCTGGATTCCATCCAGAAAAGAGCCATCCGCCTGATTGGAGATGCGAACATCACGTGCAACCTTGAGAGCCTGGAACATCGAAGAAAAGTTGGAGATTTGTCTCTCTTTTATAGATACTTCCACGGGAAGTGTTCAATTGACTTGACAAATTTGATTCCACCAAGAGCGGTACGTGTCAGAAATACGCGACAGACTGTGGCTGCTCATCGTTTCGAGGTTCAACTCAGTACATCTCGAACTTCACTGTTCAAGGACTCTTTCATCTGGAGAACTGCGTTTATGGGGAATAAACTTCTTGAGAACGTTTTTCCACTTTGAGGTACAGCCACCGGTTTCTGAGCGCCTTAAGAATTTTTCTGTATTGCTTGTGTTTTGTCCTTTGAAAAATGGACTTTTCGGTATGTCCTTCAGCCCTCTCAGCAATGGGCTCATTCAGGCTAATTCAGTTTTACTGCATCTTCATTCTAGAAACAGTATGTCTAATTCAAATGAGAAAAAAATACTTTTCCTTCGGAAAGAATATATAACACCAGGCAAAATGCCAATATACCTCTGCCAAAGCCAACTTCAACATTAACAAATAATTCCATAATATTTGAGAGTCGGAAGATATTCATTCACCATTTGAAATGAAAAGTATAGTAGAGTCAAAAACATTCCATAAACGTGTGGAGGAACTTTTACTCACGAAAGCATATTATAGCTTGGAAGAATATCTTGAAGACAGATTTTGAGTACCTGAATCTTTGAGGTCGAACCGACTGATTTATTTATTTTATCTATACATGTAAATCAATTCTTAACTGCTTTGTAGAATCTTATGTCCTGTCTACATGTAGCGTTAGAATCTATATTGTTCCATTGTTACTGTGAATTGACTGTTTTTTTCATTTATTTAAGCTTTGTTAATAAGAATTTTTTTCTTTGACAATAAAGTACTTTTTTATTGTTTGATTGATTTGAATACTATTCCCAACACACGTTTCACCAACCAGGTTGGCGTTTCAGGAAATCAAGAAAACTGTTTTCTTCATCTCTTGAAGATGCCAACTTCGTACCTGTTTTGGATTTATTCCACGCCAGAGGTTCCAGTTTTACCTTTTATACTTAGTGTAGACTTCAATTCTACACTTCTCATAATGTTACAAAATCTTCACATTCGAATAGTTCTCCTGTATACCAGTTGCCATCTGTAAAAGATGTATTCCAATCGTATTTGGATGTTATAACACAGAAACCTTGGAAATTATAAGATTAATATGATTGATTTACATCACGGAGTGCCCAAACAAATCATAGTGGACATCAGTAGAAAATTCAAAAACTTTGTAGTTCTTCAACTTTCAAAACTACACATTACTTCACCCAACACATAAGAATATAGGAACTCAACCAACTCAGCCACTAGATTAAAACCTATCGATAGTATCAATGGGCATGCCGATAACGAAAACCCAGTCAACGTCAATATTGAGCAAATGTTGCTCAATGACTAGGTAGATAGTCACAAGATTTAGAACGATTTTTTTCGGGGGTATATAATATTTACGGTCTGTTTAGCTTTTGATCTTCGAAAAACCTGTTTATTAACTTGAATTCCAACATCAAAGGTATTTTCCTGTGTTCCTTCTTCATCTGACATGTTTTGATTTTCAGCGATATCTTCGTTACAAGTATTTAACAAAATTTGTTTTTCCTTTTTTTTGAACAAACGGTGGAGCTTTAGATGAATGGGACGTCGGTCTATCAATCTCGCAATCAAATATATGCGGAATTACGCCTGGTTTTAATATAATTTTTCCCACTTTCATAGTTTTGATATACGTGTAATTTTCTAAGTCTGTTTCAACCTAAAATTCAAAGTAGTGCTCAGAGTAAACTCTGAGCACTACTTTTTTTATTAATCATAATCATTCATACTTACATTAAAATGATCTTCGCAACAAAAAATGCGTCGCCTTGGCACAAAGTCGGCCCTCCGCATAGCGCGCTGCCATAACTTTCGTAATAGTGAAATCAAAATTTTGTCTGGTGCAGTTACCGAAGAATTCTTGCATATAGGAACGGAACAATACTTGTAACGTTATTTTTTTATAATTATTCATAATCACGCAGTTAACATACTGCAGTAAACAACACACAACTTACTTTCTACGGCTTTAGCACACGTATTTCGCTAATTCGCCAGCACTCCCTTGTCGACTGATGTGACGTCAAGCTTGACCACGCCCCGTTTCGATGAACGCCACATTCAACAATTAATTTGAGGGGGAAGATAAAGAGTGAAAATTCAGATTTTTTGCAGATGTACTATTTGAAGCATAAACTATCAAATTATGAAATGAAAAAAATTAGTTAAGTGTGCCCATTCAATTTGTATCGCCTTAATAGTCGCAAAACGCCGTCCTTTCACGAGTCTCTTCAATCATGGGAACAGGAAAAACTCGCGGGAGGCCAAATCTGGTAAATACTGTGGCTGAAGTATGATTACAGTGTTGTATTTGACCAAAAAATTACGAACACGCAATGATGAGTGAGCAGGTGCATTTTTGTGATGCAAAAGCCTCGAAGAGTTTTTCCACAGTATCGGATCTTTTATTCGTATTGCTTCTCGCTAGCGGCGCATAACTTCGATATGATACTCCTTATTGACTGTACGATCATGTGACAAGAACTGCTGATGCACTACGAAGAAAACACTAAACAAAATCTTGATATTTGATCGAACTTGGCGTGGTTTTTTTCGTTTTGGCTTTCCTGGGCTCTTTTATTGAGAGGATTGGACTTTGGTTTCGATGTCATAAACATATACCCACGATTCATCACCAGTTATGACCAGCAAATCTGGATCTCCGTTGATGTCATTGAACAATTCTTGAGCAATGCTCACTAAACGTTTTTTTCTTTTGTAAAATATATACTGTTACGAATTAAAGAATTAACTCTCTTAAACAAATTTGTTTTTAACAATATTTTACTATCATAACTAATTTATATTCAACACTTAGCAACTAACGCTTAATTTATCTTCACTGTTCGAATTATTTATTTAAACGCACGATTCGCTTTCTGAATACAGACTCCTCTCTGGGGCGAGAAGCGGGTCTTATAAACTGGTAACGACCGTGCTAGATTTCTCTAGTTGTTTCGGCACCGGCCTAGACTTTTCGCGGCGACTTGTCGATCGTATTCCTTTCGCGGTGAGTCATATGTTTGCTGGCTGAGATATCGGTCAGGGCTGGCTTCAGATTCGTTACAATACCAACATCCTCAGCAACTTTTCTGATAGTGATTCGACGATTCTCCATAACAATTTTCTTCACATTCTCTACATTTTCATTGGTTGTTGGGGCGTCCAGGGCGAGCGTCGAAATTCACATCTTCTCGGCCTTTAGTGAACAGCTTCTTTTTCAAGGAAAATCCTTAAGGAGCTCTAAGAGTGGTGCCTGAGTGAAAGTTGTGGTTCACATTGGATTTCAATCGCTGTAGATTGAATCCATTTGGAAAAAAGTTCTCAGGAAGTTTATTCCACATAAACGCAGTTCTTAAAATGAAAGAGTTCTTGAACAGTGAAGTTCGAAGTGTACTGAGTTGAACTTCAAAACGATGAGCAGCCACAGTCCGTCGCGTATTTCTGATATGTTCGTGAAAGTATCTATAGAAGAGAGACAAATCTCCATGTTCCTGACTATTAAGGTTGCAAGTGATGTTCGCGTCTACAATCAGGCGGATGGCTCTTTTCTGGATAGAATTCAGCAGCTTCAGAGTATGCTTAGGGGCGGAGCTCCATACATGAGAACAGTACCTACTCCAGAGAAGGTTTGATCTGAGCTTCATACAGCATCAAAAGTAGCTGAGGTGCGTAGTTTTCTAGTTCGGAACAGTGATCCAAGCTTTTGAGAAGTGGCCTTTGCAATTCCAGCGACATGATTGTGCCAAGACATATAGGTATCCATTTCAAACCCCAACAAATTTTTCGAATAATGTCTGACCTGGTATTATTATATCCGGTTCGGAGACATTTTTTTTGTAGAACACCGATGCCTAGGCATTGAATTGAACCTGGTTACTTTCACACCAATTCGAAATTTCTCCTAGATTCTCATCCAGATATGCAACCTCCTGCTGCCGGTGAAGATGTGCATCTGCAGCCGATGTCCTGGAATCCAAATGGAATGACGAGACAAGTGTGCTGTCATCGGCAAATCGATATATTGGATTTATCTTTTTTTCCAATAAGTCGTTGATGTAAAGTAAAAAGATGATCGTGGAACAGGGTTGATGGTGAAAGTATTCGACAGATATTCATCGACGGCCACTTGCAGGGAACGTTCTTCCAGAAAGCTGAGGAGCCATACACAAAAATGATCCGACAAGCCATAGCATCGAAGTTTGGCCAGCAAACCCTCATGCCACACATGGCAAAGGCTTTGAAAATATCAAGCGCAACAGCTCTCCATGTTTCTCGATTGCGTTATTCCAGATATGGGTGACATACGATAGAAGGTCGCCTGTTGATCTTTGTTTCCGAAAGCCATATTCATGCTCGACTGGTCTATAGTTATTTGGAAGATTCTTCTTGCCTTTTTTGGGAATAGGCTGATTGCGAGAAATCTTCCAACGAGGAGGAAAACGTCTTCCTTGTAAGACTGGTTGAAAAGTCTGCAAAATAATGGAGCGAGTTCATTTGCGCACTTTTCAAGTATGATTACGGGCACTTCAGCAGGACCAGATGCACCACTTTCTGACTGTCAACATCTCAAGTGTTTTTGAGCCCTTGATTCCATTTTTTGTACAAAATTTGACGCGATTCTTTGATTCATTTTTTTTGATATTAGAAAATCGCCGAACACGCAAAACTTTTTTATGCCTCTCACGAACAAACTAAACATGCTGAAACTATGAACATATGTTCGAGACGAGAGTACCAACATAAAAAAAAATCGCTAATCGAATGTGCGTAACCTGCAAAATTTGAACATCCACCCCATTTCTTGAACAGCCCACGTATATTCTAAGATATTAACGAGTGTATTTGATTCAGATGAAAAAGAGGAAAGGTCGTGGACAAACTGTTTTAAATCTGTTTTGAAATCTGTTTTAAACAACTCTCAGAAGTTGAGAAACTTTGAAGTAAAATTGACAGATGAAACTGTCAAGATGGCGACTGGGCGCCATCAGGGAAAAATAAATTAAATAGAAAGGGGGGTATTGTAACACATTATTTTGAAGCTCCTGACGAATACTTCACTACCCTAGAACATGAAGTCAATATCTTCACCTACTACAAAATGGCGGAACATTTAATAATTTCCCGAAGACAAACACGTTAATATCGATATTTCCATAAATATTCCTTTTTATCTGCCGTATGGCAATTCCAACAACCCGATATGCTTTGTTGAGTTATTTTTTGTTTATAAAAACGATAAAAAATGTCAATACGACAATGAACATCATTGTTTCAGTTAGAATATTCTCAAATAATTGGTGAGATGGTAGTAAATCCTAAACAGTCTACTTATTCCGTCGTGAATGTGTGTGAGATGTCTCCTTCTACTGTGTGGATACTTTTGAAGAGGAATAGGTATCATCCATACAAAATTAAAATGGTATCTACACCAATTAACTGTAGATGACGGCAATGTTCATAGACAAAATTGCCGTTATTGGACTGACACCAACCCTCACGTTTTCTGGGAAACACATACCCAATATCCAGAAAAAAATTAACGTTTGAGCAGGAATATTGGGAAACCATATTGTACTTAGGTCCTCTATATATTGATCAAAATTTAACAGGGGAACTGTATTTGAATATGCTGGAAAGTACTGTTGACCCTGTCATCAGTGAAATCGTCGAAGCGAATCCTAATGAATTCGATATGTCAGTAGTTTTCCATAAATTGTTTACACTCCATTTGCACTCCCTGTAGGGCAAGTTCTGGAAATCATAAAGATAATTTTTAATCTATTTCGATAAGATGAGTAGGTTCAATTTGTTTCACATTGCATTGTTATTTTCAGTCGTTCGTTAAACATTGGTAATGCATCCATATCCATACTATATCGATGAATAGGATGACTTTGATTATGATGATGAAAGTTATTTCGATGAAGAATATCTGACACATATAGAATACTGCAACTATGAATATATCTACTTTAATGGTAATGGTGATGGAGAAAGTGAATCCAGATCGTTTTTCGGACGAATTTTCAGATTTTTATACTCTAAGCGAAGAATATTTTACATCGGAGTAGTTATTTTCTTTTTGTTCAGAATGTACGACGGATCAGTTCGAGAAAAATTCGCTTCGCCCAGGCTTGAAAGTTGTTTCAGAAGATCTTACAGTGCCAATAATTTATTTTTTTAGAAATGAAGTTACATACTGAATGTAGTTAGTTGAAATAAAAAGTTTTATGAAGTGTTCTTTAGTATCTACTTAGTGTGCAATATTTCAGGAAAATATTCCTCAGATGATTTCATGAAGAAAATCATCTGTGGACAAACAGTGCGTTCCTCAATAAGCTTCCATTAGAAATTTCTGGTAAAAAGTATTTCATGAAAAGTTTGAGGGCACAAAGCACTGGGCTTTTCAAATCATGTACCAATATGCAAGGTACTGGGTGAAAGCATAGTTAGAATTTGTATCTTTTGAATGAAATATCATATACTGTTTCCTTCATTCGTTTTCTGTTGGAAAATCGAATTAGAAATATATAGGATGATATCTGTTTAAAATCTATTTTTACGTTAATCAGCTGTCGCCCCCATACGAACGACAACTCTCAGAAGTGGAGAACTTGTGCGAGCTAAGGACTAACGAGGTGTTACCTTTTAACGTGTGATTCCTAACACGGTTGCAGAATCATCCCGGCTTCAATATGGATATGGATACATACTGAACAGAAGTTAGGATGCCAGAAATAATGTCAGGTGGAGAGTCTGTTTTTTTACCAGGATTTTTGGAAAATGTATTTTTCTCATCATGAAGAATGAGAATTTTTTTTCTAGTATTGGATGATTCGAAATTCGTAATTGTTTTTTTATCATTATTGAATAATAATAGGACCATTTTTTCCAATAACGGTTGATTCAAAACTAGAAAATCGTTCTCCAATGTTTTTCAAACTTTATTTATGCCAGTGAACTCCTCTTGGATAGGGCTTTCCAAGGTTAAGGGTTATCAGAGGTATAAATCAGACGGTTCGTAAATTATAACAAAATATAATTTATTTTCAATATTGAACTTCTCCAATATGCATGATCTCACCAACAGGAGGCAACCACATCCGTACCCGGATATCATTCAGGTAGCTATAGTTGCTTACGTGGTCATGTTAATTGGTTACCAGGTGTTGCCTATTTTTGCATGATATAGCATGCTGCACCATGCTGATGAATGATGAGTATTATCTACAATTATTATTTATCGAGAGGAGGAAATTTCAAGTATTTTTCACTGTTATTGATCCTTTATCATCATTGAAGTCGATTGTGCTATTATCATAATTATTAATTGTTCATATTCACGTAAAATAGTTGTATTTGTTTTAAGTGTGACATTATTGGCAACACTGATATTTGCCATTTAACATTGAGACAGACGTGTAATTTCCGTAGTGTTATTAAAAACTGTAATATTACAGCGTTCAATAAAAAATATCGAGATATAGAAGCACCACATAAATTATTTGAAATAATAAGAAAACAAAGGCGTGTTTCGTTTTATCTAAATTTTAGTATGAAATATTATGTAGTGGCAACCGTGGTAAAAACCTAAAACAGCAGACATCTGACTGACAGCAGTAGTTAGCTGACGTTTTAATATTTTGACTAATTACCATATATTCAATTTTCACCGGAGTGTTTTCCAGTTTTGTGCTAGTAAAAAACTAAGTAATATTCGTGAAATTATTAGTTTTCCAGCCCGGTTGATCTGGCAAAAAGTGAAAAAGAACTCAATCATTGTTTAGTGATGATAATATTGTATAATTCTCCTGAACAAAACCATTACCTGGCGTATTGATAAGACCATTCATTTTGAAGATAGTTGATAAAATATCATTGAACCATGGGCCTTACTATATCTGCCGTATTCAACAGACTGTTTAGTAAAAAACCTATGCGAATTTTGATGGTTGGATTAGATGCAGCTGGCAAAACTACAATTTTATACAAACTTAAGCTAGGTGAAATAGTAACCACCATTCCCACGATAGGTTTCAATGTGGAAACCGTAGAGTATAAAAATATTTCATTCACAGTATGGGATGTAGGTGGTCAAACGAAAATAAGAAAGTTATGGAGGCACTATTTTTCAAATACTGATGGTCTAATATTTGTGGTAGACTCTAATGATAGAGACCGTATTGCAGAAGCAGAACAAGAATTGCACAATATGCTTGGAGAAGAAGACTTGAGAGATTCCATTTTATTGATTTTTGCCAACAAACAGGATCTACCAAATTCCATGTCCACTGCAGAACTGACCGACAAGCTCAAACTGAATACTTTGCGAAATCGTAGGTGGTTCATTCAGGCTACATGTGCTACACAAGGGAATGGATTGTATGAAGGACTTGATTGGTTGTCAAATGAATTAGCAAAATGATGATATTTTCATAATATACTCCGTAATTATTTATGTGCATATCTATTCATTATTTCTATGTGCTTCACTATTAAATTTCAAGTGTATCCATGAATATCAGTTTGGATAGTCTGTTCAGATAATTACTTTCCTTTGTATTTCACATTTATATCAATTCAGATTACTGTGTAAAAAATAATAAATAACAAAATAGAATAATTTTGGGTCAAAGTCATAATGGTTTCATTTGTTTGTCTTAGATGGGTCCGAATATTTGATTACTATGCTAATAGCAAAGAAAGTAAATCTACTTGATTCTGTATTTTAATACAAGGTAGAGAAAATGGAATTTGATGTCATGATATACTATAAAATTAATTCACTGATTTTCTTTATGTTTTAAATGTTGATGTACGTCAAAGAAGTTTTGAAATGTGAAATATGTCAATGTTGATTGACTTCTGAAACATTTCATGGAGAACAAGGTGTTTTCTGATATTGGTCGGCTATCACTATCTATATTTTTCTTCAAGACAGGTAACCAAGAAGTCTTCATTACCGAGGAGCTGTTTGAAAAACACTTCCCTCTAGATATAAGAATATAACCTGATTCACTGTTTTAACGTCTCTATCACGATGACTAAGTAAGTATGTAAACCATTCATAATGGTTATTTGATTTTGATCCCAGAGATCTTGGTTTGAATTGATAGGGGATATTTTTTAGGAGATTAGTTTTTGGGAAGGCTTTTATTCCTTCTAGTTTGTATCTGAAAGTAACTACTGTACACGTTCTACACATCTTTGTTAAGAGTTTATTTTGAACCAAATTGCTTTCTTCCATCCTTTGGAAGCTTCATGATTCAAAAATACTTACCTTTCAATTTATACTGAAGCATTTTGATTGAAAAATCCACTCCACTTTTGAATTTATAAAGATGACAACGCAATTAATCAGTTTGAAGTTTATGTAGTTGGTACTTATGAATGTAGGTATATATCTTATTACCTATTCTTGGGTATATATACTCCGATATTTCTATTAGGCCAGTAGTGTTAGAATACTTGGGAATGGTGTAAAAACCGAAACCTTGGTCGTATTAATATCAATACATTAAGTAAGTGGAGTCATCAATATCACAAATCATTCCATAAATAAATTCAACGAAGTTTTTACCTTCAAATTTTAAAAGTTGTTCAATAAATACTTTTGTGATTTATGCAGGAGTATTCAAATTAGTCTCTGTGAGTATAAGTGTCTCAGCTGAATTGTGGAATATTTTTATATTATTTTGAAGTTCTATTGCATGATTCAACACCTGCTCATTCATTTTAAATACCGATATTCACCTTTTTTATTCTGATTGACTCCGTAAGAGGACAAATAGGTTGGTTCAGGGTTTTTTGAACTTCTGGGGGTTGTGTGGCAGGAAAACCTATCTAGCAATATTAAAGAGTTGTGAAATCAACACATTCAAGGTATTTGGTGCTTTATTTATTCAAATAAAAATGCAGTATCAGAAAATCAGCTATTGTACTTAGATATAATATACCTATTCTGATAACCCAATGAAAGTTCCTGCGGCAAAGTTAGTATGAACAGATTTTCAAAATCTCTGAGAATAAAAATAGATTATGAATATTATTTGTAAATTTTTTGTTTCCTTCATATATCTCTAGAAAAAAAAGAATTCAAGTTGATTCTCTGGTATCATTCAATGGCTGCGTTTTTTGATGTGATTCTGACACCGGTTATGCTCTCTGGTTCTTCTAGTTGCTACTTTTCCTTCTGCCAGAATCGGCAGAATCTTTGGAACGGAGTAGTGTGGGAATATGAAATTAAGGAATATTTATCGAAATGCTTGTCGAGATTATTATTACAGCTGTCGGACTGAGTCATGGCCGGTGGGAGAAATCGTATCTTCACTATTTTGGTCGGTCGGTAGCCGGTCGGTTCGACGTGGGTGCTTTGTTCACTCACTCGAATTGACCTTACTATATCT